ATCCAGAGATGGCCACTAATTATAGACCAGTGGCCAACATCCCGTTTCTGGGCAAGGTGTTAGAGCGGGTGGTGGCGGGACAACTCCAAGCACTCTTGGTTGAAACTGATTATCTGGACCCATTTCAGTCCGGCTTCAGACCCGGGTACGGTACTGAATCTGCCTTGGTCGCCCTGTACGATGACCTGTGCAGGGAGAAGGACAGGGGGAGTGCGTTCCTGTTGGTTCTCCTGGACCTCTCAGCGGCTTTCGATACCATCGACCATGGTATCCTTCTGGATAGGCTTGCGGGATTGGGGGTTGGAGGCACTGCTTTGCAGTGGTTCCGCTCCTATCTTAATGGCCGGTTCCAGAAGGTGGTGCTGGGGGACTATGGCTCTGCGCCATGGCAGTTATGCCATGGAGTACCGCAGGGGTCCATTTTGTCCCCTTTGCTGTTCAACATCTACATGAAACCGCTGGGAGAGGTCATCAGGAGGTGTGGGCTGCGGAACCATCAGTACGCTGATGATACCCAGCTCTACCTCTCGTTTTCCACCAATCCAGGTGAGGCAGTGGCTGTACTGAACCGGTGCCTGGCCGAGGTAATGGGCTGGATGAGGGCCAATAAACTGAAGCTCAATCCAGACAAGACGGAGGTCCTGTTGGTTGGCGGATCGGGCTTCGGAGAGGGTGAATTGAACCTTGTCCTGAACGGGGTTGCACTCCCTCTTAGGGACAAGGTCCGCAGCCTGGGAGTGCTCCTCGACACGGAGCTTTCACTGGAAGCTCAGGTGACGGCGGCGAGGAGCGCTTTCCTCCAGCTTCGGCTGATTCATCAGCTGCGCCCCTACCTGGAGTACGACTGCCTCGCGACAGTGACACATGTGTTGGTGACTTCCCGTCTTGACTTCTGTAATGCGCTCTATGTGGGGCTACCCTTGAAGGTCCGGATACTTCAATTGGTTCAAAATAGAGCTGCCAGGCTGCTGACGGGGACTGGGCGTTATGTTCACATGACTCCAGTTCTCCGTCAGCTTCACTGGCTTCCCATTGAAGTCCAGGCCCAATTCAAGGTGTTGGTGATGACCTATAAAGCCCTAAACGGCTTGGGTCCTGGTTACCTGAAGGAGCGCTTACATCCATATATGCCCAGCCACCCCTTGAGATCGGCGGGAGAGGCCCTTCTCCGGGAGCCCTCCGTGAAAGAAATTAGGAGGGTGGGTACTCGGAGGAGGGCTTTCTCTGCGGTGGCGCCTAAGTTATGGAATGCGCTCCCCAGAGAGGTCCGCCTGGTGCCGTCGTTATTTGTTTTTCGGTGCCAGGTGAAGACCTTTTTATTTAAGCGGCATTTTAACTGTTAATATTATTGGATTTTATCTGGCCAGGGCGGCTTATTTTATATTGTATTTTTAATCTAATGTTCATATTTTTTAATTTAAGATTATAATTATTTTAATCTATTGTTGTAAGCCGCCCCGAGGCTTCGGCGAATGGGGCGGCATAAAAATGTTTTAATAAATAAAATAAAATAAAATAAAATAAAATAAAATAAAATAAAATAAAATGAAGCTGATTGGTGTGAGGTTTAGAACAGATGAAAGGAAGTACTTCTTCACATAACATATAGTTGGAATTCTCTACCACAGGAAGTGGTGAGGACCACCAATCTGGATGGGTTTAAAAGGGGATTGGACAGATTCATGAGAGAGGAAGCTCAGTGGCTACTAGCCTTGCTGGCTATGTGCTGCCTCCTTCACCAGAGGTAGCATGCCTGCATACACCAGTTGCTGAGGAGCTTGGGCAGGAGGAGGTCTTGCATCCATTCTGCTTGAGTGAAATTTTGGGCATTTGGTTTGCCAGTGTGTGTATGAAGTACTGGACCAGATGAACCTTTGGTCTAGTCTAGCATGTCTTTTCTTATGTGTTTTTCCCTTGCTACTTCCTTCTTTCTACTTTGTCATTAAGGATCAAAACACGGAATTACTGCCCAGTGTCTTCTGAATGGTAACACTTCAAGTCTTCTGCTTGGAAGCACCTGAACTCTAAGCTAATGTCCCATTGGTCTGCATTAATTTTCCAAAACAAAAGTCAGCCTTTTGAGGCACAAAATGAACTTTTGTAAACTCATGAGTATTGTACACCGTGATATATAGGCCAGGCAAAAAAGAACTTTACGAACAGCAAGAGCTTGTTGGACTGGACCGAGAGACCATTTAGCCCAGCATTCTATCCCATCAACAGCTAGCTAGAACCCTGTGGGAAGCTTTTGTCCCCCCAAAATGAGCAAGATGATCACTTCCACTTAACTTGGACTTGTTTTTCATTACTATAAAAAGGACCCAACAAATTGACTTTTCAGAAGAATATTATCCAGTAAGATCACACAAGATACAAAGCTACCATTTATTCATTTATTGAATTTGTTTGGAAGCGATCTGTTAGCACCGTGCTCTCTGGGCTGCCATTACAATAAAAGTACCATAAATAAAATAATGCATAATATTAATATTATATTAATTATATAATAATGCATAATGCAAATATAATAAACAAGCATGATAAAATTCCATATACATAGTCAAACAGAAATAAAATGTAAATTAATATATTAAAACCAGCACAATTTTTTATAAATTATCTAAGTGGCGTCACAGGTGCACTGGAAGAGAGAAGTCTTTTTCAAGGTGACTAAAAGTCAGCAAGATAGGTGCCGGACTAATCTCTAATGGTAAAGTATTCCATAATTGGGGCGCCACCACTGAAAAGGCTCTCTTCTTTGCAACTTCTTTGCATCCTCCTTAGGATGGCCTCTGTTGATGATCTTAAAGGATGGGCAGGTTGCCATTTGGTTGTGGGAAATCAACAGCACAAGTACATAATGAACCTTCTGCATCTACTGCCTTCTTAAGTGGGGAATCTCTTCCACTGTCTTTGTTTTTTGTTTTGTGTATCTGCCTTTCATTGTCACTTCCACACATGTGGCACAGATGCTGAAAGTTATGCTGATACGACCTGGTAATTCAGTTGTGGGAGCTTTGGTACATTAGAATGTTGCATGTATTGGGCAGGAAGATGACATGTGCCATCTAACTACCATTCCAAAGGGAGACACTGAAACAGAACTTCTGGCAGACATACCGATCTAGCTCACTGGGGCCAGGAAGAGCTTTGCAGTCTGGATGCACATCTGCCTTAGTGCCGCAGACAGATTTTCCTTGCTATGAATAAATCAGTGTCTATTTGTATCAACGGTGCTTTGTCCTTGAAAAGAAAGCAGAGTTGGCCAACTTGTGGCTGTGCAGATGTCTTGGTCAACAGCACCCATTGTCTTTCATCATTGGTTATGCTCACTGGGGCTGATGAGACTTGTAGGCCAAAACATGTGATGGGCCACAGATTGCCCAGCTCTGATGTACAGGCTTCCCTGAATTTTCTCATTGCTCAGAAAAAGAGGAGCTTGATATATCAACATACAACACTGAGCTCTCTTGAAGAAAGCTCCATGCTGTTTTCTTCAGGATGATACTTTTATGTGTAGAATGGCCAGGGTTATTTTTGTCAAACCATCTGAGAAGCCTAATAGCCATCTGGGAAAGTGTACCTAGCACTGAAGTTGCTGGGTTTAAAAACTGTCGCTTTTGTCACTTTTACATGTAGCTTGTCATTAGTGGTGAAATGTGTGGTGGTCTGATTAAAACAACTCTTTTTAGGGTTTGGTATGAAAAGCTAATGCATTGGTGAGTTGTTGCAGCTTGTCAAAATGGAAGGTCAGCTGCACAATCACTGATTTTTAAGGGCTCTCTGCTTCTGTGCCACTGCCACAACTGGGCTTTGGCAGATAAATGTGAGACAAAGGGCACCATTTGAAAATGATGAAAACTACATTTTAGATGTTGCACTTGACCATTGAGTAATGATAATACTGCATGCTTAGTGGGTTAGGCATTGAACAAGGAAATAATAGAATCAGAGAAGTGCATGACACTTTTGAAGAACTAAAAGGTTACTGTTCTCTGATTATTTCATAGTCCCAAGCCTGGCTCACACAAGCCAGAGTTTCAATTTCCTCTTCTGAGATTGTTTGGAGATGGATAAATTCAGGGTTTGACACACTGATCTTTTTGTCCTTTGGGATCTTACAGGCAGTTCAACACATGCCTGTTCAGTGTTTGGTGACTTTAACATCCAGTGATGGTTTGCATGTGGAAATCAGCCATCACAGATCCTTATCTTATTTTACCTCAAACACAATGCTGTTCCATGGAATTTGTTCACTTATCATCTGTAAGTGATCGAGCACTGAGTAATCAAGTGGTATACATGCCCTCCTGGCCTGAAAATTGTTCTCTCCTCTGCTCTTGGATTTGGTTTAAATAAGTGGGACTTCCACAGGGAGGTTGCTCTTTGATTCACCACTGGAACGGAGACTGAGACTGTCAAAATTCCGGCAGGAGAGAGAACTCTACAGATCTCTTTCTTTTGAGCTGCCTTTTAAAGGAAGAACTGTGTGGAAGAAACAGTCCTGACTTTCTCAGTTGTACCTTGTGATTTGCTCTATTCCTGTATTTGGCCTGAATGGGATTACTCTTTACCAAAATCTAAGACCAATATAGCCAAAGTCTAAGAAGACACTAGGTTTAGGATAGAAGTTCATTACGTTGTTCTAGCACAGAAGTTCTATACTACTGGAAATGTAAAACATTACATTATTTAGTATATAACTTTTAAAACATCGAACTTAGTATAAATCAATGACCTTTGAGGAAAGGCAGTGACCTGTTTTTTAAAGACCGAAACCGTGTGAAGACAGAATATCAGTCAAGCAAATAGTCAATGTACATCTGCAAACATCGTATCATTCTAAAAGTGTTAGATTTTCAAAGAATGAGGCATCAAAGGAATATTTGTCTCAGAATATTAATTCTTAGATTATTCTCCTAAATGGAAACTAAAGGAGACTTATAATTAAAATAAACCCTTTTCATCTTTCTCTGCCTCTTTATTTTTGGTTGTTCTAGTCTTCTGTGATGTCAGTCTGCTTTGCCCGCTTTCATCCCAACCTGGTTGTTGGAGGGACCTATTCTGGCCAAATTGTACTCTGGGATAATCGTAGTCACAGGAGAACCCCAGTTCAGCGCACCCCCCTTTCTGCAGCTGCTCACACGGTAAGGACCATTTTCTTTCTTTAACAAAACAACTATTAATTGAAGGATGCATTTGCATAATTTTATTGTACATAAAAAGTACATGCAACTTATAAAAGGAGTCATAGGACATCGCATCACAAAGACGGCACTTATGCCTTTAATTGCACTGAATCCTGAGGCTCTGAACTTTCCAGCCTATTGCTCTGTTGGCCTTTTTTGTCTACCCTTCTTCCCATTTATGGCCAGTATGACTATGTGAATAAAGAAGATAAGGAATAGGCCAGGAAGCACTGAAGCCTCACAGGCCCACAGACACTTTTCTTGGTATCCATCTGTCTCATCTTTGAAACTCCACATTTTCTTACTGGAAGCTGGGATGGCTGCAGAAAGATTTCTGTGGATACAGGAAAGTGTGGGTCCAGCTGTGGACTCAGACCCCACTGTTGCCTTGTATGCAGTCTTTGGGCAGGTTACTTGTCCTTTCCCATGCCTTATGTGGCAGCAATTTTGTGGTGGTGCCCAGGCGTTTCTCAACTATCAGTTGTACCCACAGCTTTGAATGATTGCTGACCCCTCTTATAAATGCATTCCATGCAAATTCAACAAGAAACCTAAGACTGCTGCATCTAGGGCACTGACTTACACACAGTGTTGGGATGAAACTCAGCAGAACCTCCTGCCCTGCTAGCATTTGTAGACTTTCTTTCATGCTTGGACTGGTTTTGGAAAGTGCATCAAGCCAAGGAGAAGTCCATGAATGCTTGTGGAATGAAGAAGCAACCTTCTTCCAGATCAGGTACAGCAGCACAAGCAAAGGCTGCTGCAGGTGGCATTGAAGAGTGTGCTGCTTCCACCGTGGGGCTTCTTTCCAGGCAAGCCCCATGTGACCAACCTGCTTCTGGGTCAGGTGCAGCAGCACAAACAAGGCCTGCTACTGCACAGAACAGAGACGCTGCTTGCCCAGCGCATGGACCTTGATTCCTGGCAGGCGCTCTGTGAATGCTGCGTGCGCTTGCCAGGAACTTGGACTCAGGACTGTGATGAAGTGCACCAGAATCTGGGGAGCCAAGCCCAGGGAATTCAATGTATTCCTAACCCCAAAATGGGTTCTCATTCATTACTTCTGCATCACCATTTTTTAAAGATTTTGCTTCAGAACAAGGTGCCTGCATTGTTTTAAAGGAAACATGGCAGCCACTGAATTTTGGCAGCAGATTTGGAGTTGGTGGGTAGTGGCAGCTCTATGCAGCCTGTGGGCCATCGGGAATCTCTTCAAATACTCTTCAAGCACTATCATCTGAGAGCTCTTCAGATACAGGACTGTCTTCTGTAAAGTAGGAACACATGGACACCTAACTGTAGTCCTGCTGTCATCCTGGTAGAATATGGAATAACCCTTTGTGCTTGCAAATACCTCTTCAATTGGTTTTTCATGAGGAAGTAAACACTTTACTAAAATAAATGAATATATGGACTTTTAGACAAAAGGGTAAGGTTGCTGGGTCCTGGATGCTGGGTTGAGACCCAAAACATCTGGAGATCTACTTTTTGCCCACCTCAGGTTTAAGACAACCTTCCTCAACCTGGCCTCCAGATGTTTTAAACTACAACCCCCAGCATTTCTGACCTGGCAAGGACTTATAGGAATTAAAGTCCTAAATATCTGCCAGATATAAGTCTAAGGATGATTCATTTGAAATATTTCTTGAGAGAAAAGAAGTCTCTGATGCCCAAATTTGCATGTGCTAATTTACACATGCAACTATAGATTGCTATAATTAGCATTTTGTAGATGGAAAACTAATTGATAGTGTTTTCTTTCTGGACAGACTGTGCAATACCCCCAAAATGCACTTGCTTAAAACCATGCCTGCACCCACACTTTTCTTTCTTTTTTCATGCCAAAATCCAGATGGGGTGGCTGGAGTGCCTGAGACCAATGAAGATTGGTCACTCTGAATATTTACTGATTCATTGCAATTGAGACATGGACGAAAATGAAGCAAGGGAGAGTGTGAGAATATATTAGAGGCTATAATATCCCATGTTCTTAGTCTGAAAACTTAAAATGGACTAAAGGAGTAGTTTTCAACCTTTCCATAGCTGGGGACAGGCAAAAAAAGGAAAGCTACCTCAGGGAATGCTGAGGCAGAAACAAAAAAGCACCATACACATAATAGAGTATTCGGTGTATTAGTTTTCAAACACATTACCAAAGAAAAGAAGAAAAGAAAAGAGAAAAGAAAAGTCTCCAAAACAACCAGAAACAGCAAAGAAGAAGAAGAAGAAGAAGAAGAAGAAGAAGAAGAAGAAGAAGAAGAACAACAACAACAACAACAACAACAACAACAACAACAACAACAACAACAACAAAATACTGAAATCGGTGCAGCGTGGCTCCCAGCCGGCTCTCACCAAACCATCTCTCCCCTCCTTGGCCCCCCAGCAGCACTGGCGCATTCCCCATGAATGCAATGCCAACTGAGGAAGAGGTGGTGGAGCACAGTCAGCCTCTTGCTGGTCTGTGGTGAGTGGGATGCAGCCTCCCCACGGACCGGCAGGAAATCGCCTGTGGACCAGCGCCGTCTGTTGAAAACCACTGGGCTAAAGGAAATAACCCCCATTAAACATAATGGGATTTACTTTTGAGTAAATCCTCCCTTGCCCTCCTCCTAATCTATCACCCGTTACCCAAAAGCACAACAACATTGGACAGAGACCTCAGAACTGGGGGCACTGCTGTTCCTGGTCCCCAGACCAGGAAAGGAAGCAAAGAAAATGGCTGCCTCATCTTTTATTTATTAAATTTCTATCCCATCTTTTTTTCTTTTATGAACTCAAAGCAGATCACATAATTCTCTTCCTCCTGCTCTCAATCTTATCCTCATAACAACAAGCCTGTGACGTAGGTTGGGCTGAAAGTTTCTGACTGGGCCAAAGTCACCCAGTTGGTTCCATGGCTGGGTGGAGACTAGAATGAGATCACCTGAGTCCCAGTTCCACACTCTTAACCACTATACCATACTGTTAAAATACCTTATTTTCATAGTTTCCTGGATTCTGTGACACTTTTCAAAGCAGTTTTTGCATTCTGTTTTCTAGAAATCCTAAACCTATGGCAAATATGGTAATATTAAGTTTTTTGCAAACTTAAATAAAAGTGTCAAAATGCATAACTGGATACCTTTATTAGGACCAACCAAAAACCATCTGTAGTTGTGGGGGGTTTAATTTTCATGGACCAGTTTGGCTACTTTTCTTTAGGGGTACTTATTTTTAAAATTACCAGTGTCTAGGTTCCTTTCTCAGACATTGGAACTATCTTCAGGATGCATAAGGGAGGATGCAGCTCTGACAAAGAAGCAAATTTCCAGTCCTCCATATGCTTACCTGGGAGTAAGACTTCAAGCTACATACACTTAAAGAATGAGTCCAAGCTCTTCTAGCAATTGTAAAACTAGTGAGTTCAAGGGGAAAAGCAGGCTTATAATAAGGCACTTGAATGCCGTGGGATTACCACACAGACAAATTGTACCTTTAATAAGGTATAAGCTTTTAGAGGGAGAAATAATTGACTGAACCACAGATAGTGACAGATCTAGTGCAAACATACCAGCATCTTATACAATTTTTGGTTCAGATGGCATGAAAACACTAGCAGGATGCTTCTTGGGGAACTGAAAGTAACTCCTAAAACTTGCAGTTTTTTATCAGTAACACAGTGCTGTTGAGAAATTACTCATCAAACATACAGTTTACAACTGGGAGTTTTAGGTACAAGTTGAATTCAGCCTGTTGTGGTAAACCCTGAATCTTGAAAATTACAGCATTCAAGTATACAAACAATTAATCGTGGTGGCAATATTATTAATGCCAATCCATGTATCTAGGAGGAATATTTTGCCCAACATTTTTGGCATCAGAATTCTTAGCACACATGAGTAATGCACATCTTAGAGTTACATCACTTTAATGAATCCAGGGATGGTGTTTCGTTTATCTAGTCACCAAGCTACAGTAGTAAACATTGCCCTCTTAAGAAGATGGCTTAGGAAAATGGGAAGCTAATAGAGACCCTATGAATCTTTCAAAGTGTTGACCTAGTGTTGAAAAAACTACGTTTTTCTCCATCTGCTATCATTAGTTATTTCCTTCTTTCTATTCTAACAGAGCTGTGCCCATTCAGAATAATATGCTTATATTTTCAACATGTACTAGAGTTTGTACTAGAATATACAATTGTTTCCATTGGAATATGGAAAATGAACTTGATCCATTTATACATTTTTCTCTGTTCATATCAATTCAATATCATATTCATAATCCTCAGAAAGTTCATATGAAATCATGTACTGCGGTTTTATTGCACATACTGCCCTGAAGAGTGGGGCTGGACTAGATAATCTCCAAGATCCCTTCCAACTCTATAATTCTGAGGGTCAAGTTACACAGTATATGAATCACATCATGTGCAGCTTGCCCTTCTTAGTAAGCACATGGTCACTAGATTCAGGTTTAAATCTCCTCCTGAACTTTACCACATTGAACAGCTGTTAAAAAGAGAGGGAGGGGAAATAGCCTCCACTGGTGGTTTTTCTTTCTTTTTTGTCTTTTCTTCATTAAGCAGACACCTGAATGAAGCTGTTATAGGTTGACACAGGAGTGAATTAAGGACTCAGTCCCCATGGCCAGTTCACACAACCATTTTTAAGTGATTTTCCTAATGCTTCAGTGCATTTCCTGACCGTTAATCACAGTGTCCTGGAAGACTCTCAAAAGATAGGGCTGAACCACTGCTGTGTGGGCTTGTGCTGCTTGTGAAGAGCACCCCATAATAGTCTTAGTGTACCTGCAGACCTGTGACTCAGTGTAGGGACCCTGCTTTGATTCCAGAATGCTGTGTGTTCAATTCCACCATCTTCATGTTGGGCTAGCAAATCTGCCTGAATCCCTGGAAGACCTGCTGCCAGTCAGTGTTGACAACACTGAGCTGGATGGACCAAAGGTCTGATGATGCATAAGACTTATAAAAGCCTTTGTGTGTTCCACTGAAACAAGTTGGCTGGTAACTCAATACCCTCTTTTGAAATTTAATTATACAGTCTTATATGAAAAGAATTTCTGCCACCCTCTAACTCCATCGCCGACTGGAAAATGTATACCATGTTGCCACCAGCCACCAGCTTCCAAATTTCCTGAGCTTATCCCTTCAAATTGGTGCCAGGATTCACAAGGAAAGGCAGTCCCACCACACATTACTCACTAATTTCCTTTCACACCCACCGCACATCTGCATTTGGGCTAACAGGAAATTTTAATTAAGGTTTTTTTAAGCCTCTAGAATGATGATTTCATTTCCAAAATAAATAAAAGCAAGATGGCATCTTATTCTCTTGGGAAAGGAGGGAGCCAGTTAGATCCGCTGCAAAATACTGCTGGTGTTCCCTCCTCCCAACTGCCTTCCTACTCTGCACTCTGAAATATCCTTCTCAGTTCAGTTGTGAGACTTATTGCAAATGAAATCGACAGCTGACAGCTCTGATTAAAGCCAGGCAGTATGCAAGACAGTGCTGTGAGGAAAACAGGCAGTTGTGTTCATTGCTACTGTGCCCCTTTTCCCCACTTTCAAGGGACTGTGTTATCAACCTGTGCAAGCACCATAGTGAGGATGGGAAATGTCCATGAACTTTGATATGCATCAGTTTATTTCATACATGACCCATGCAAAAGGCCTATTTTGGGGTGGCAAATGAAGAAGGGATTCAGTGGCGATGCAGTGGCGTTATTTGGGTTTAAAACCATCAGCTTCAGAATCAGCAGCCCAGCTGGCTTGCACACAGCTGTGTACTATTTTGCATGAAGCCAGTTATGAAAAGGCCGCAAATGGATTTAAAAATATGAACAGAAAAAATGCAGCAGTCAGATGGGTAATTTAATTTTAACAGACTTGCCTTTATTAGCATAAGAACTTATTCTGGCTCAGACCAAAGACCTATCTCATCGCTTACTCCATTCACACAATGGCCAACCAGTTGCCTATGGAAAGCTCCCTACTAGGACATGAATGCAACCATTTCCTTCTACCCAAGTTTCCTGTCTCTGGTACTGGAAATTATGCTATAGAGCTGTTATGATGAGTAGTCGTATCAGTTTGTTCAGTCTCTCTTCACAGCAGTCCAAATGGGTGGCCATCCCTGCATCTTTTGGCAATGAACTCATAGTTGAACTGTGCTCCATATGAAGTACTTCTGTTTATTTCCCTGAATCTCCCACCAATCAGCTTCATAAATGGCCCCAGGCTTTAGTACAAAAAAGGGAGAAAATTATCTCCATATCTACCTTTTCGACACCATTCATAATTTTGTACATGTTTTCCCTTCCCTTTTTTCTAGCCTGGAAATTTCTGCAAAGCATATGGTATATAATTCCACTGGTAGGCCACATGTGAACTCAAAAAACTAAGGGAGTACCAATGTGATGTAATGGTTAGGAATTACACTGGGGAGATCTAGATTCACATCCATAAAAATTACTGGGGAACTTCCTGAGACACTGTGAAAGGAGGGATATGAAAGCAATAAACTAACTAACTTATTTTGGCCCATTAACTATTTTTTGCAGTTACATTGCAAGAACAAAAGGAAAATACTACAGTTGAGTTCAGATATAACATTATACCACAGTCTATATGCCTGTCTGTCTGTCTGTCTGTCTGTCTGTCTGTCTATTTTAATGGTACCCAATAGCTGAGGCTCTCTGGGCAGTTCACAAAAGTTAAAAAGACACACAGAAACAATTTAAGAATAAAACCATAATAGTAATTCCTGTGATTCAGCATCATGTACATGAGCCCAGGCTTGTGACCTTCTTCTCCTCTTTCAGAAGCTTTTGCTCCTATTTTCGATTTACCATGGTTTTTTGTATGTGCAGATGCAGAATAGTGGTTAACTATGGTATATCTCAGTAAACCAGGATCATTAACCACAGTTTGAAGGCAGCTTGAAACAAGAATATTGCTAATAGTGTATATATTCTTCCTAATTTGCCTCCACACTCTATTTTTACATTATTTCAAGAATTCACACTTTGTTTGACCAGAAGTAACCAAAGAGAACAGAGAGAGAGATGTGTCATATGTATGTTAGAGTAAGTCAAATCTCTCTGAAACCAATTATTCCCAATTATTTTAGGTTTAAACTAGGTATTACAATGAAATGTGTTTTCTCATATTTCGGTAGTCATTTTGTTGATAAAGAAGCAGCTTTCCCCATGTGCAATTTTTATGCTCCAAATTCCCACCACAGCTGCTTTTCCTCTTTTTCCACCACAAATGTCCATTTACCTCCAGAGATATTATTTGTGAAAGAAAATGGACTTCGGGAGGGGGATGGGTCACAATTGAGAAGTTTTGGACAGAGAAAGAATAAAACACCCCCTTGCATCTGTCCTCTCCCCAGAGTCTTTTTCCTTAAACAAAGAAGCCATTAAAAACACATTTGTTTATGTCTTCATTTGTTTTTAAAGCAATTGTCTGTTTCAAAGGATTGCATAGTTCTTTGATTCTAGACCCCATCAATATTTCATAGAAGGAGTGAGAAGGGCGGCAGTGGGGGCTGGGGCGTGCATTATTGGTGTGTGTTTAAGTTTGATGTATTGAATAACATAATATAAAAGTTACAGGAAAAACTAAAATTTTCAAGCAGCATTAAGGAAGTATAAAGACATTGGTGAGGAGGCAGGAATAAGGTTACAAAGCACTTGGGTAACAACATTGAAGGACAATTGTAGCTGAAGATTTTTGTATACTTCTGTGTATAAAAACAAATATATACAACCCTTTCTTGTTCTAATTTTCCACTTTCAAAGGGTGTGCTAGGCTACAATTTCTTCTTAGTGCTAATTTTTTATTTAACGACTATCACTGGGGATGACTGAAGTAACAAGCACACTGCTTCCCATGCACTCATACCTGACACTTTCAATTAGCAATCTATGAATGACCTAGAAACTCCGGATTGTTTAAGCAATCAAAAGTTCATCGAATAATACATCATGGGTAATTGTTTGGTTAACTCTGGGTTGCTTAACCAATAAACAACTCAGAATTCTGAGTTCACATGCCACTATAAGAACACAGAAGAGAGACATTCCTGGTTGTTTCCAAAGGCAAAGTGGATGAGCAGGTTGAAACTAGTATGCTCATGAATGTCCTATGAGTTATTGACCATATATTGATTAATCATCTAAACCAGATCTGTATCACATCTATGAGAAGCTAATATGATGCTTGGTTTGTTTTCTCATAAAGAGGAAGGAAGATTTTTAAAAACCCTTCGGGGCCTTTATTTGAATGGAATAGGCTACACATTTGTTCTCACCCAGGCTGAGAATGAGTGTTCAGTGAAAAGCTTGATAATGAAATGCTAATGAAAAACAGAAGAACTTTCTTGTGGGTATGTGCCTTCCTCTCTCCACTGCAACAATGGTCCACCATCATGCGCAGGAGATTGAAGTGAAAGGCTTCTAGGACAGCTTGAGTCCAGTCCTTCCTATTGTGGAAAAGAAGCATTAGCCCATTGTAAATTTAGAATAATGTGATGGATTGATGCAGCTACTTCAGTAAAAACCCTGAAGTTGGCCCATGAGTAGGACTTAATACATTTGTTGACATTTTTTTCTCACTGAAGTATGTTCAAAAATATTCTGCCAAGCCATGTCAAAGTGGATTTTCTTTTCTTTCTTTTTTCTGCAGCAACTTTGCTCAGTAAAGTCTGTCTATTTTGCCCCATTTGAAGATTTGTGTCTCTGCTGTTACTTTTCAGCATCAAGCACTGTAAATAGCAAGATAACCTATCACTGCAGGTGAAATTTCCTCCATTTAATGCAACATTTTCACAGTGGTAATCATCTTGATCAGTTTATGATGGTGTAAAATGAAGCTCTGAAAAAAACAAGTCCAATCTCTTTGAATGCCTTAATGTGCCATCAGACTTTTGAGCTGCATTCCCTCCCGGCAAATAGGAGCCCTGTGCATTGTGTGACAGCCCAATTCTCCTCACCAATAATGTGTCTGCAACGTTTGGAAACCTACTTTTTCAAAATGTTAGTAGACGCCCTCTAATTTTTGCCATTTTCTGTACGCTCACTTTTCAGCACCCTGTATACTGTGTAAATGTTGTTGGGACACAGAATGCTCACAACCTCATTACCGTCTCTACAGATGGCAAGATGTGTTCCTGGAGTCTGGATATGCTCTCAACTCCACAGGTGGGTTTGTTTTTACCTACACAAGAAGAAAGTGCTAGGGTAAAAGCTGATACCTGCTTAATGGAGCTTCATTCCTAAATGCTAAAACCTCACATCCTATACAGACTAAAACCTGTAGATGCACTTGAAAGAGTGCAGCTCATTTCCAGCAGTTGGCTCTTCTAAGAGCCAAAACCCATTTCCTCTGCCTCAAATCATGTAATTATGGTAATGCATTAATACACAGGTCAGTTTCAAGTGAAAATGAAATAATCTGTTTTGAAGCACAGGTAATCATACAAGTTGCCTGTGTTATTTATCACATTTACTTTACATCACTGTTTAGCTAACATAGACTAGATAGTACGAGTAGCATGCCAATCACAGAAAGTGCAGCCTTTCATTTTCATGCAGGGGTGAAGCGAAGCAAGACATCATATCACAAGTCTGACAAATATATTTTTCCCATTCACCCTATGTTAATATATTGATATCGTCAGCTCTTCTTGCAGAGAAAAACCACTTGGTCATGTAAATCTGGTATTCTACAATATGCTGGTGCAAATTTTTCAGAGTAATTTCAGGTATATAACGTAGGGGTATAACTAAAGTTGCATGAAAGCTTGCTTTTGTAGAGTCAGTTTGTACGTGGTAGGGCAGCTGGTCTCATGTCTATCCTATGCACATATAAAGTGGGTAAGAATAGTCTCTGCAAGAAGAGCAACACAGGAAAGGGGAATAAAGCAAACCTCATCCCTAACGTACCCCACTGCACTCTGCTATTTTAAGCAGTCGGTTCATAATCCCACACAAGAGAGAAATTTACATGAAGCAATGAACTGCAGGGAAGTATGGGAAGGGGAATGATTTTGCTTCTCTCCTCTGTACACTCCTTTGCACATGAAGAGTGACCTTTTATAATGGGTAGGAAGACATGGATAAAATACACTTGCCTGTCCAGTCGTATCTGGTTTTTTTAAAACTGATTTTTTTTTTAAAGGTGATTTGCAAAATCTAAATGAATGCCTAAGGCCTAGCTTGTTCCTTAGAACAAATGAAACAAATGGCAGAAGGAGAGGGAAGAGGAAGAAAGAGGGAGATAAAGCACTGCACTTGCTTCTATATAGTTTGAAATGGAACTTACTAGACTTAGGCTAGATGTGTTATCTAAGACCAGGTTTTCTTGAGCCAAGGTGTACAATTCAGTCTCCGGTGGGTATAAGGGTGTGCAGTGTCAGCTCCTGCAATTGGCAGATAGGGTGAAACTTCCAGATGTGTCAAGTCAGGGGTAGGGACCCAATCCAGGCTTCCTGGAGTTCCAGTCAGGCTCTTAGGAGTTCTCCAAATTGCCTCTCTTCCTTCCCGCAACCCCCAATTAGTAGATGATTTCCCAGGATTTGTGCATCCTTCACCTCTGCTTAAAATATTGAAATGCCTTAGTTAGAGGCAGTAAAAACTTTAAGATACAATGTGCTCATATTTTTCTATTTTTTGCTCCACCTCTTTTACTTTTGGCCCTGTCCCCTCTGTCTTTGGTCATACCCACCACTGGAATGGAACTCCCAGGTCTTTTCTAAAATTAAAACTTGGGATGGAGGGGGTTCAAAGCCCTGGCAAAGATACTGGGATGCTGTTCTTCTGCTTTTGTCTGGACTTCACCATTCTTTCAAGTAGTCCAAGTTTTAAAAGCTCTCCCTAGCTTTCTTGCCATTGCCTTTAGGGAGAAAAAAATGGCAGATGGTGTTAATCTCTCTGGCTCTATATCTGGTCCATTTCTTCCCTCTGTTATCTCCACTGATCCATCCCACCGAGTATTGTCTACAACACAGCTGGCAGCAACTCTCCAGGGATCCTTCCAGGTGGAGTTCAGATTTAGGCAAGACTGCAAGCGTCTAAAAGCAGTGCTCAGGAGAGACACTCTTACACAAGGATACCAGATTCAAATGTTGGGTCAGAAATAGTGAGAAGCAGAGGATTCTAGACTAGTGGTGGACAGCAAAGCCAGTTGTCAGGGATGCTATGAAGTTCAAAACATCTGGAGATCAACTTTGCCTACCCCTGCTCTAGCCTAACATCTATATAAGCCTGCAGCTCAGTTTGGGTGACTGGTTCCACCTCTGCTTTGTAGAAACGTCTTGTAGTTAAAGGACTCTTGACTGATTTAGCGACCATGGCCTGCAGCGGTTTTGCAGGGATGAGGCAGTGCCCTTGTTATGATTTTGACGCAGGAGTTGTGAGACTCCAAAGACAACAGAAGTACCACCTCTTCAGGCCAGGCAGGTTGCAGCGAAGTGGGTTCCTGGGAAGTGATGTTGTGTGGGATAGGTACTGCAGGTGATTCTTTTATTATTATTATTATTATTAGTATTAGTAGTAGTAGTAGTAGTAGTAGTATTTTTATAATAAAAAACCCCACTTGACCCCACTCAGTCTCCTGCTCTGCTTTGCCTCCATGGTCTCTCCTGCGATGGCCATGACAACCTTTACAACAACAGCAACAGGCAAGGAAAGCCCCAGTGAAAAGCGTTCCACCATTTGCCTCTTGGCATAAAAAGTAAGCAAAATGACTCTCCTCCTTCTGCCATCCACCCCCACCTCTGAATAGTGTGGTGAAATAGGGAGGGCTGTTTCCGCTCTGTCCATCAGGACATCTTTTGTGTGTATGCACAGATGCACATAGAGACACATGAGGTTCAAGGAGAGAGAAAGAGAGGAAAGGAATAGCAGAAACAGTGATCTTCAGGAGAAGCAAAACTGTTAAGAAAATAGTTTTGCCACATGCTTGGTTTCTGTAATGTATTCATAAAACAACTGATTGAAAGTATCTCTGGACTTTTTTGCTAGGAGAGCATGGAGCTGGTGTACAATAAATCCAAGCCGGTGGCAGTTACTGGAATGGCTTTCCCAACTGGAGATGTTAATAACTTCGTAGTTGGAAGTGAAGAGGGCACTGTCTACACAGCCTGTCGTCACGGGAGGTATTTTCTTTCTTTTTCCCTTTTTGAAATAGGCTCATTTGACTTCTTTTTCCTCTTACATACATCTGTATGTTTTCCTGTAGTAAAAGGGCCAAAACCGACATGATGCAGGAGACGTAGCATTTCATGCTTTAATGGCAGGTAGTGGCCCTGATTTTTACTGATGCATTGGCAAAGTTAACCTACCCTAATTTCTGCTTTTGAGGGAAGGAAAAGTGTATAATGTGATAACATTAGGAGAGAGAAGGCAACATAGGGTGGCCATTTTGATAACTGATCAAAAGATCAACAGATCAGAAGTATCTTGATATATCCCCCCATCCCTCCGGCCACAAACTGATGAAGTAAAACCTGTTGCAAAGGACATCCTTTCTTTCTGTGACTGTGCAAGCATAAGGTTTGGATGTCATTAAAAGAAAGATCAGTTCCGCATGTTCAATGAAATGAGTACAAATGATTCTGTTTTAACTGTTTCATTGTGGTTGCCTCTTGTAAAGAGCTCCTCACTATTCTTCAAATGTGCCAGCTGTGACTTATATGCATTTCAGTTTTACACCATTAATTTATTAACTTCACTATATAATAATTTATAAACTTTGATTTATCATTAAAATGCCATGATCAATTACCGCTGTTATTTGTAATGATTAAGGGGCCCCTGTTGTTACTCTCCATATTAGTTAAAGTAGATCCTTAGCATATGGATATACTGAAGGACAAAAGCTGGGTAAAATGGCATGTGGGAAAGCAATGCATCCCTATGCATGTTGAGAGGTGTAAGGTATGCAAAGGAATTTTACTTTAAAAACCTACCAATCATAAAGAAGACCAAAATTGTTGCAGGTTAAATCCTCTGGGCCCAATTTCTCTCCTCAGAAGAATTATTTATGTTGGAAGGGATAACTGTTACTCTCAATTTAAAAGCATAGCATAAAGGAACAAAGAGTTAACCCATACCATGGCTGCATGTATATTTATTTGTTTAAAAAGAGCGTATATGTTGCCTTTCAGAGAAAAGCCTTCCTAAAATAGCTTACAAAAAACAGTTAAAGCCATAAAGCATTTGTTTAAAGACAAGTCTGGACTGGGTAGGAAGAAAGATTGTACAGATGACAACATGCACTTTAAAAGTGTGTAAATGCAGCTATAGGACCGAGATCTGCCTGAGAATAGTTCCTATTTAAGCAGCCTTACTATGCCTGCTTTGTCCTCCATGAAAGTGTCAGCTGCTTTTCTTTTCCATGAAAGAACTATTATATTCCTGTTATGCAGGGCTCTTGATGCCCCACAGAATTTTATTTCTATTCTATTTACTCCTGTGTCTTGAACACTAAAGATCTTGCAATGTAACTAGTTAAGGCCTTATCCCATTGGCAGCAGCTTTAGCAGCACAAATAGTTGGTTTGTCCTGCTACAGCAGTGATGGCATAAAAAATGTGTTGCCAGGCACACCTTCTCCAGACTGTGGCTTTTATTATGGTAGGGGTGAGCAGAAGGCAGGTCTTTAGATGTTTTCAGCTTCAACTCCCAGAAGTTCCAGGTAGCATAGTCAATGGTCGGACTTGATGGAAATTAAAGTCCAAAATATCTGGTGGTCTGCCAAACCCTGCATTATGGCTTCATTACTCAGGCTGGAAGAGTCATGGTATGCTTGCAAAATTGTTTGGGGACCTAATGCTTTCACTCTTGTGTTCTAACTCCAATGTCACACTGGAGCCTTGTAAGGCAGCACAGAGTTGGAACTGGTCCAGCCAAGGGTGAAATTATAGAAACACTGTGACCTTGTCATGAATTTTTAATCTTGATCCTGTGCACTTGGATAGCCGGATCATAGGGCTGGCCATGAAGGAATGTACACAGTAGAACTCCGAGGTAAAGGGTTTTTCTGCTGGTGGATATTTCCTAAAAGTATGTTTCTCCCTTTCTGCAGTAAAGCAGGCATAGGTGAAGTTTTTGAAGGCCACCAAGGTCCAGTTACAGGAATCAACTGTCACATGGCAGTGGGTCCAATTGACTTCTCTCATCTGTTTGTCACATCATCCTTTGACTGGACTGTCAAGTTGTGGACCACAAAGGTAAGAGAAGAGAATGTGGAAGCTTGTTTGGGTCTCAACCCTCTTCCCCCAATTTAGGATTACTTGAGCAAAGTTGGATAGGTGGTGCTTCTCATGCTATAGTTGTAGTAGGGGCTGGAGCAGGCAGTGGGAGGCCAGGACCAAGGTCGGGTAGGGCCTTGAGCCCCGTTCCTCTCTCTCCTTTTTCATGTACCATTTATTTACCCACAAACATGCAACTCGTATGTCTACCATACATTCACACAGCCCTCAATTTCACTCACATGCTTCAAAGTACAAAGATTGGAGCCCCTGATAAAATGTGCCCTAAGATGAGAAAGGGAAATGGGAACTTTCAGTAATTCACATGCATTCCCTCCCCCAACCCCACCTGCTCACAATCAGCTTTTAGAAAACGGAACTAACAAAACTCCTGGTTGGCAGGAGCCATAAATGTTCTTGTGTCTGAAACATGAGTTGATAAGGAAGCTTGTATGGCTCCAGCTTTGGTTCTGCTGCTTTGCTGGTTTTGGAGGGAAGACTGTTTTGCATTGGAAAGCAATAAAAGACACTTAAGTGACTTGCTTCTGTTCTAATTTCAGGCTTCATGCAAATCTGATGTAGCGCCCCAATTTCTGTCTTCATTCACTGAAGCTGAAATTTGCATTTAATTGTTGTACTTTAAGCACAGGTCCATTCTGTTGGCTCATAGTATCCATTATATATTTATTTCATGCATACACATAGAGTTGAAATCTGTCTGTTTCAAAATATGAATTAGCAGATGTTATTATTTGGGATTTAGTGATGAAATTTGACCTAACACATTGAAATTTGAATTTTAAAATTAAAATAGACATAAAAATTTTGAGATTCAATTTACTTGGGAAAATGAAAAAGTAATGTAAAATTCACTAAATTCTGCTGCAAGCCAACTGTCAGATAATAAATGATTTTGCATGTCAACTTTCAATCTGACAGAGAGCTTCTAGGCCAGTGATGGTGAACCTTTTAGAGACCAAGTGCCCAAACTGCAACCCAATACCCACTTATTTATCACAAAGTGCCAACACTACAATAAAACCTGAAAACTGAGGTTTTAGTTTAGGGGAAAAAAAACCTCACAGCCATTCCAAGCAAATATATATACATATACTTGGCAGCACACTGACCGGCCACATGAAAGCTCAGGTAAGTCGCAGCTATTGAGTCGTGGCTCGTGAAGTCATCGCCTGGTGCCACTACTCCTTTCTGAGCATGAGCATGGCTCCCATGTGTGCTGTTATCCGATGCTCGGCCACTGCGGTGATGATGGGATGACTTGGCTTGCATGCCAACAGAGAGGTCATCAAAATCATATGAGGACACCTCATTTTTGTAACACTAACCCTGCCCTGGTGCACACCCCTAACCCTAATAGAGGGGTAAAGTTCCTTTAAAATGAAGGCGATTTTGAAAAAGCCTGCCTTGAGTAGCTTTTTCTGCACAGCTCATCATTTCTGCCCATTCTGAACACATTCCAACCATCAAAATCAGGCCAGGACCCCTCGTTTTTCTAACCCTAACCCTACTCTGGTACACTCCCCTAACCCGATATAGGGTAAAAGTTCCATGGAAAAGAGGGCGATTTTGAAAAAGCCTTCCTTGAGTAGTTTTTTCTGCATGGCTCATCATTTCTGCCCATTCTAAACACATTCCAAGGTGTCATACCAGGACACCTTGTTTTTCCAACCCCAACCCAGTGATGGTGAATCTTTTAGAGACCGATTGCCGAAACTAAAACCCAATACCCACTTATTTATCGTAAAGTGCCAACACTGCAATAAAACCTGAGGTTTTAGTTTAGAAAAAACTCCCAGCCAGCCCAAGCAAATCAATC